TCGAGACAGCCTTCTTTTGCAGTTTCTTTTGCAGCAACTTCTGAACTTTCAAACTCTTTTTCCCTCTGTGAACAAAAAATGAACAAAAATTCAAATTAGGTTTTTGGCGAAACGCAAAACTTTACATTCAGGGTAGTTTACTTGCCTGATAGAGCAATTGGAACAGCTGGCTGCCGGCAGCAGCATCAGCAACAGAAGCAGATGACTCTGCGTGGGCGTCAGTGTTTGCTCTACTGTTTTGAGACGTCAGAAGCAAGGCGACGTCCTGTGAGAAGAAGAGAAAGAGCCGACCTGGAACTTTCGAAACGCCACTTACGTCATTTCCATCAGCAAAAGATGCAGAATCAGAATCAGAATCAGAAGAATCCTGAATCCAGTACGCCTGAAGGTGACGCTCTGAAACGCCGGCCAAGGGCCTGATTTGCGTGAACAACTGCTGACTCCAGCTGGTGAACAGCTCCTGACTGGCTTCAGCGGAAATGGCGCCGGTCAGCTCAGCTTGGCTAATGCCGTAGTCATCAGCATCATAGGCCAAAGCCATTGCTCCCAAAACATTGGCAGAAAACCGCACTGAGATGTAGTTAGCTGGCAGGGCTGTCCAAAACTGCTCAAAAGCAAACTTTGTGTACTCCTCATCGGCATATTCGGTGAGCCAGCAGTTGGAGAAAGGGCCCGGAAAGGCGGCGAAAAAGCTGGTGCTCTCCGTTCTGTCGTGCATTCGGGCGTAGCAAAAGATGGAGAGCAGGGCGTAGGCAGTTTGCTGTTGTTGCTGAGGATGATCATGTGACTCGGTGGCCGGAAAGCGGCATGGCACCTGAGTGGCCTGGAAAAAGTAGCATACTTCTCTCCGTTTTCCCACATTTGGTGCTGTAAAATTGAGTCAAATAAAAGTGTTAGTGTTAAGTCAGTGTTTCTCCCCCTTTTCTGCTATTACCTTCGGCTATTACCTGACCGCTACTTTTCTTTTCCTCTTTCTCTATTGGAGCCAATTTGAATAGCAACACCGGGTAGGCGGACAGTGCCTTGAAGGGCTGGTAAAAGGTACCGCCGTCTTTTGGTGGCTCTAGACGGGCGTAGAGCGCCTTTCGAAAGTCCTCCTGGTGGACCAGACGGTAGACGACGTCTAGAAGACGGGTAAAGTCGTAGGAGAAGTTGGCCAGCAGAAGTCTCTGCAACATGGTGCTTATCATCCCGTGGAACAGGCGGCTGTCCTCCACATCTGAAGTGCTTGATTTAGTGTTAAAAGAAAAGAAGGAAGAAGAGGAGGAAGAAGAACTTGAAATGGAAATTAAACTTGAGGTTGGCGGCAAAGGCAAAGCTGCCGATTTTGGTTGGGCCGGTTGGGTCAAAAGGGGCAAACTGTTTAGTGGTGCCGGCGGTGGCTGCTGAACTTTTGCCAACATTGGCTCAAAGGTCACTAGCTCATCATGTTCATTGTTTTCAATTTTAGAAAACTGCCGACAAATCAGCCGCTCATGTTCTCTCAGACGTTCCGATCGGCGGTAACCGGTTCCACAGCGGCCGCACTGGTACGGCTCAAAAGCGGTGTGCAACCACAGAGCGGAAGTGGAAGTGGCAGCAACAGCAGCAGCAGAAGATGATGATGGTGATAATGATGAAGATGATAATAAGGCCGTCTGCCGTAGTAGTTTGCAGTACTTTTTCGTGGACAAGTCCTCCATGTGATGCTCACGTCGCATGTGTTTCACCGCCTGGCAGTAGCTGGAAAAGCTGGCGCTGCAGTTGAGCCCCTGCTGAGCGATCATCTTCTTCCGACTCCACTTTCTGTTGGCATTTTTAGGTAGAAAGCACCGGTAGGGGCGAAAGAGTCGACCCGTTCTCCGGTCGTGGTAGTAGTGCTTGTGGCCACTTTGGAAGCAGGGATCTCGATTGACGAGGTTGACCGCCTCGGCGTCGCCCGCCGCTCTGGCCATCGAAGCCAGCTCCGGGTCGTTGACAAAGTTGTAGAGGGAGTTAAGTTGTGGATATTGCTGAGGTTGCTGCCGCATCGAAGGAGACTTCAGAGAAGAAGGAGAAGAGGAAGAGAGAGTTGAAGCCTTTATTTTGCTGAACATGACTTTGATTTTTTTTGGTTAATTCAATGTTGAATTTTTGCTTTGCTTGAGTGTCACACAACTGTTCGACAAAGTTTAGCGAGCTTTATACTAGAGACAAAATTTCCCTAGCAGCATCCTCAAAAGCGAAAAACAGATATTCATGATTTTTCCTTCTAAAGTCCAGTTTTAGTTATCACTGCAAGTTTTTACCCCTAGTATAAAAGTGTTCAAATCTTTTGATCTACAAAAGTGACTTGATGATACGGTTCAAAACGCTGGCGGCCGCTTTTTCAACTGCTGTTCCAGCTGTTGTTGAGTTCGCTTTACATCACATGTTTGTGTGTGTGTTCTTGTCTGTGATTAGGTTACCAACAAGTTGCTATGGCCACTGGGACTTTACTTGATTTATTGCTCCAATGATAGTTGAAGATATTTGAAGGTGGTGGTAGCAGTGAATGAAATTTGCTCAGCAGAGTTGAAAGTGGATAACTGGAAACTAACTTGGTTAGATTTGCTTGTCCTTGACTGAACTGTGTGTTTTTAAAAAAAAGTTGGTCAATGATAAGGGCAGAAGCAAAAGAAGAAGCCGCAAAAGCGGCAACAACAAAAACGGCAGTGTTTTTAGTTTATCAACAACCACTCAGTTGGCAGTTAAAAACTGAAGATTTTTTTGTATAAGTTTTTCATTTTTATGCCATCTATTTAAAAAAATCATTTTCAGTTTAACTCAATTCACTATAGCTAACAATTCTCATTTTAAACTTTCGCAGTCCATCCAAAAAGTTGGACATCTGTCAAACTGTTGTCCCACTTGTCAAATTAATAATGAGTTTAAAAAAAGAAAAGGCAGGATGTACTTGACAACTACCAAAATCAACAACAACAACAACAGCATTCTCGCCAGCTCAGCAACAGACCTGAGTGGGCTTTACTACTATAAATTTCAGTACGGCTGATTTCAGTTTTTTCAAAACAGTACGACACGACAACTACTACAACTACTACAACGATGCCGATTAGATTGTAAAAAAAGTGCGAGGGAGAAGAAAAGGCCGCTTCAAAAGATAGCCAGAAAAGAGCACTTTTAGAAAGACGATACAGCGCACTTTTTTGTTGTTGTTGAATCGATCAAGAAGAAGAAGAAGAAGAAATGACAAAGAAGACAAAGAGGAGCCACTTCCTGAGTACGTGCTCATCCTCTACATACAGAAAAGAGTGGCATGATTGACAACTACAAAATGAAAAAAAAGTGGAGTGAACCACAAGTGCTGATGCACACACACACATACAGCTTGTTAGCTTCTAAAAGACAAACTCAGTACATTCAACAGATAAAAGACCTGACAGTCTCTTATTTATTAGTTATGCTAAATTAAATTAACAAGCACTACTTTTCACTGTTTTGTCTATAGAACTTTATTCAAAGTAAAAAACTGCTATTTTAATTAGAATATTAAACTTGCAATAACAGAATAATCAATTCGCTTATTATTCAATGCAAATGTAGTATTTTTGCACTTTATTTGCAGCACATTTGTAGTACTTTTCAGCAGCAGTTCATCTGTAGCAAGAGCAGTACACTTTAGTTTTGAGCTGCCTCTGCCGTCGTGCCAGCCAGCCAGTCATCTAGCCATTCGACAGTTGTGACACAACAAAGTGTAAAGTCTGAAGTTGCAGTGCACGCTGATAAAACTGAAAACCGTCTTGACTGACTGTCGGCAATCAACTTCAGTAAAGCACATTCACATGCACATTATTATTTTGGCAGTGGTGACACAATTCAAGTCGGCAGATCAATCACAGCAGCAGCAATGAACTGAGGGTTTAAAAAACAACGTCCCAAAGTGCAAAGTGTTTGTGTGTGTGTGTGTGGTCAGGGACTGTCAAGTAGAACATGAACAAATGAAAAAATGGGAACTCGTGTAATCAACATGTTTTAGCTGCTTTATGGCAAATTTGTGGGTTTTTGTTTCACGCCCACGCAACACACACACAAGCAGACATTCACAGTCAGTGGCACACTTAGCATCCAATTTTTTTCTCATTATTGTCAGCTCTACAGTCTTATCATCATCATCATCATCATCATCATCAGCAGCAGCAGCAGCTCATCACCCTACTCAAAGTTGGTTCGGCAGCTGTGAAACTGCTGATTTCTCTCTGTCTCTCTTCAATTAGGTAATCGAAGGCACTTGATGGCGATAAATTCGGATGGTGACCAAAGTTGCCCTCTGATAACGTGAAGTGTCTGCGAAGAAAAAGAAGAAAAAGAAGAAGAAGAGTGGCGGCGGCAGAGTGAAAAGAAAACGTCGAAAGAGAGATAAGAAACGAAGAAGAAGAAGAAAAGAAGGCGAAAACGCGTGAAATGGCACTGTGTGTGTGTGTGCTTGATTGTGCACAAATCACTAGAGCCCCACTATCAGTCTCATCGAATCAGCAGTGATTGAGCCCTGTTGATGATCAGATTTAACGAGTGAACTCTTCCGAGCAACGCATCACTAGTGCGGCCAGAACAGCAGCAGCAGCAGCAGCAGCAGTGGAAGTAGATCACCACCAAACAGATCACTGCCGCCACTAATTACCCTCATTAGCAGGGCACGGTAGTTTTTTTATGAGCCGAAAAAAGAGCAACATCTTAAACTTATTACCATTGTCATGATGATGCCCAGTGCTTTGCAGTGTTGAGCAGTTCTCAGCAGCAGNCAGGTCTTTTTCTGCACCGAAAAAAACGTCACTTCCACCTTATTACCGTGTCATGATGATGCCCAGTGCTTTGCAGTGTTGAGCAGTTCTCAGCAGCAGCAGCAGCAACAGCTCAGCTTTCCTCACTCTCTCCTCATCTCATCTAGCAGTTTTTAGTTGCCTCGCCGCACAAACTTGAGTTGAGCTGACCACTTGTCATCAAACTTTTAAGAAGTTAGATCATCATCAACTTAAAAAAAGATGAAAACACGATCTGCCTCTGAAGAGCGCGCCAAGGTGCCGAATCCTAGTGTTGATGAAGAACCAGAAGGTGATAATGATGATGATGATATCGCCGACACACAGTGCAGCCTCTTTGGCTGGCGACCTGCCTGGTTGCAGCGCTTCGCCACGGCCAAGTTCTTTGCCATCAACTTCAGCATCGTCGGCATTCTCCAAGGGGCAATGTTCACCTATACGGTACGCGAAGCACCTTTGACCTTTGACCTAAACGATTCCTAAAACACTCAATTTTGACCTGTTTTGTTTTGTCGTTCCGTTCCGCACTCTAGGTGGGCGTCATCTCGACGCTGGAGAAGCGGTACGCCTTCGAGTCGAGCATCAGCGGCTTCATTCTGATTGCGGACAACTTCAGCAGCATGATCGCCTCGCCGATCATCGGCTACCTCGGCTCGAAGTACAACCGCAGTGCGATCATCGCCGTGGGCGAGTTCATCGTCGCCCTCGCCGGTCTGGCCAACTACATTCCCTACTACATCTACGGCGCTCGCAGTCACCTGGCAAACAGAGACAGTGGTAATGCAGTTCAAACAAAATTTTAAAAGTGATAAAGTAGATCAATTTGTTTCTTATTATTTTACCACAGGAAGATCCGTTTTTGCCAACTCCACTGTCTCCTCTTCCGCCAACTCAGCCGCTTTCTCCAACTTTGAGCTGTGCAGTGCGGACAACGCCGACCCGGAGTGCAGCAGCGGCGCCCACGCGACGGTGATCCTCGCGGTGGTCATCTTCTGGATCAGCAGCTTCCTCAACGGCCTCGGCTACACCGCCTTCTACACCATCGGCCTGCCGTACATTGACGACAACATTCCGAAGAAGAACTCCGCCATGTACATCAGCTTCATTGCCTCCATTCGACTGTGCGGCCCGACGCTCGGCTTTCTCCTCTCCTCCTTCTGCCTCAGCCTCTACGAGAATCCCTTTGGTGAGTGGTTGTTATTATGATTTAGAAAAAGAGAGATAGAGAGTTTATCCTAAACAGGACTTTTATTATAACTTTTGTGCTTTGTTTGCCCTTTCAGTTGATCCGGGCATCACCAGAGAGGACCCTCGGTGGATTGGCGCCTGGGTAAGACAGTTTGCCAAATGATACAGATTTGCTTCAGGTTTTTTTATTATTTAAAAATGCATGTTTTTCCCGCTGAACAGTGGCTAGGCTTCCTCATTCTCGGCACGCTGGTGATGATCTTCTCCCTGCCGATGCTCATGTTTCCGCTCAAGTTCAGGGAGATACCGAAGAAGAAGAAGGTGGCAGATGCCGTCAAGGACGATGAAGGGGTGGTAGCTCTGCCTCCTGCTGCTGCAGCTGCTGCTGACACTGCCGACACTGCTGATAATGGCGGCAAAAAGACCAAACAAGGAGTGGTAGTGACCAACAAGGCTGAGGAGATCAAGTTTGATGGTTCGTTTCTAGAATCGTGCTTCAAAAACTTTATCATAACATTATTCAAACCTTCCCTGTTTTGCAGGCGCCTGGAAATCGCTGAAACGCCTCTCCACCAACTACGTCCTCCTCTTCCACGTCTGGGGCGGCGTCTTTCGCATCATCGGCCTCCTCGGCTACTACATCATCAAGCCGAAGTACATGGAGCTGCAGTACCGGCAGACCGCCTCCAGCGCCTCGCTCTTCACCGGCGCCACCGGCGTCGTCACCATGGTCATCGGCAACATCTGCGGCGGCCTCTTCATCAAGTACGTCAAGCCGCGGGCCAAGTACCTCGCCGCCTTCATCGTCATGGTCGAGTTCTTCAGTACTGCGGGAATCTTCAGTGCCATGTTTTTGTCATGC